AAAAAAAAAAAAAAAAAAGAATGTTCAGGTCCGGGGAGAGAGCTCAGTAGAATAAGCACTTGCCTGGCAAGCTCAAGGGCCTGAGTTCAATCCTCCGTTTAAAGAATGTTCTAAGCACATCAGAGATGGTACACACACACACTCACACACACACCCCTTCTCTCCCATAACACTAACAGGCACTCATTTAAACAAAAAAGGGAGAAAGGGCACGAGGACCGATGTAGCGTGAAGGGCCGGGCACCGCTGCACACAACTCATCAAATCACACAAATCTGCAATGTCTACGCTTGGACCACCTTTGTAATAAAAGAAATGCAGTGCATAAAGTCTAAGCCAATACAAGAAAATACAAGAGGAGAAAGCAGAATCCATCTGTCTCACAGAAGGTAGGAAAAGACAAAAGATGGAGGAGGGTAAGATGACTGGAATCCGAATCTACCACTGAGCACAATAGATGTAAATGGATCAAATTCCTATTTAAAAGACACAGAACAAAAAAATAAAAGACAGAACAAAAATAAAGTCAAATAAAAGACATAGAACATCAGACTGAAGGAAAAAAATCAATTACAGATTTACAATAAATATATAAGAAAGCAAATCAATAAAGGCTAGAAACACATTGGCTGTGAAAAATGCATTAACAAATATAAGTCAAAACTAGTTTTAATACAGTAATAAGAGAAAGTAGAATGTAAGACCCCAAACTAAAGATAAGTACTCCAGGTAATAAGAATAAATCATGAAAGAAATCACACTAATACAAGATAGCCTCAAAATACAACTGCCAGGCCTATAAGGAGAAGTGAAGTCACCCACCTATTGAAAAGCTATTATTGTGCTGGCCAAATAGCTCAGTGGATTAAAGCACCTGCAAGCAAGCACAGGGGCCGGGGGTTTAATCCCCAGACCTGCTGTGCCAGCCCCACCCCCAGTGTGAGCTGCAATGGCAGTTGAGACTGGGCGTGGTGGCGCGCACCTGTAATCCCAGCTCTTGGGAGGCTGTAAACAGGCGAATCACTGAGGCAGATCTAGTACTGAGATCCTGAACACCCTGTAGAGCCTTCTCTAAAATACAAAAAAAAAAAAGAAAGAAAGAAAGAAGAATAAAAGAAAGAAAAGCTATTATCTTAAAAGGCAAAATTTAGTACAAGTATCAAATATTTATAAGGAACAATTAAACTCAAAAAGAACAGTATTATGGTTTTTTTGTTTTGTTTTTGGTATTTTAGTAAGGG